GCTCCCCGACCTCCTTGGAGCCCTTGGCTGATTTGCCCCCGGGGGGCAGAAAACCGCCCTTCCTGAAGGGAAGCTCGCCTGCTTCGTCGTCGGTGTCGTCCTCGTCGCTGTCTCCGGTTCCCCGGTACATGGCCCGGAGACCTTGCAGGTCCTCCATTAAGGACTTCGGTCCTTTCTTCCGGCTCTCTGCCTTGGGCGCCTCGGCCTCGCTGCTCGCGAGATCGCCCTTTCCGGCCTTCTTCCAGGCGCGCTCGCATGCACTGAAAGGAGGAAGGTCCACGGGACGAATGCCCTTCCAATCACTAGGTGCACTCAAGCTGATGGAATCTGAGGGCACACGCACAAAGCCAATCCGAAGGTCGCCAGCTTCTACTTCACTCTTGTGCAAGATGTCCTTGAGGATTTCCGCTGAAGTAGAAATCACTACCTCTTCCTGAAGATTCTCCACGACCCATCCACTGATCGGCTTCGGCTGGCTCCCCGCCAGAACCAAGCAGTACACCAGATCACCAGTCGCCGCCATGGCGCAATCAGACCCTATCAAAACCTTAAGCGAAAGAGCAGCGGCAGGCCTGCATGTCCCACGTGTTCCAGTTGAACTCTTCGGCCTGAGCAACGGTCATTCAGGAATAAGGGGGACAACCCGAAACCCCAAACCCTAAACCCTAAACCCCAAACCCTAAACCCTAAACTCTTGCGGTCTGTGACAGTTGATTGGGCCCCTGCCCCTCATGTTAAGTATTGTTGTGGTGGAGGTGTCTTGCCCGGAGATGCACCTAAAGACGGGCTTTCAAGATCCAAGACTGGACTGCATTGCAATTGCGGCCCTGTGAGGGGTACCCCTACACGGTCGCTTGATAGCCTTAGCTACAACTGCTTGACCCAGTTCGCAGCTCTCTTTCTCTCCTCTTTCAACGCAGCCAAAGAAGTAAGGGCGCTTCCCCACCCCTCGCACGCATGCATGCACTGGTCACCATCGGCCCGAAGTTCGAGGTTAGGACTGCGCAGGACGGTGCACGGAAACAAGACGGAAAAGAAAAACCCATGTACCCCCCACCCCGCCTTCAACTCTCTCTGACTCTCTCTCTCTCTCTCTCTCTCTCTCGTGCACACTCTTTTCTTTCTTTCTGAAGGGCGAAAGGGAGGGTTTCCCCCTCTCTCTGTGTCTCATTGATTTGCTCGTTGCTTGCATCCGAAAACTTACGATTGCAAGAGCGACTGCGTACTAGAACATGTGAGCTGAGACCTCTTCCCAAAAGTTACCATTCGAAGCTCTCCCAGGACTGCAAAAACTGCAGCCAACGTGAGGACTGCGGGCAGTGCCTTGGCACTGCTGGTATTTACAACCCCTCCCCAGCTACTAAACATTATTCGAACGGTGTCATTTTCAATCTTAAGATTCCTCACCCTTCGTTTGGCAGAGCACAAACCCTGCAATGCTACGTTCTTGCGGTTGCTGGCCTAAGCAAGTAGCCCACCAGCAGCAGCACGGCCAGCCCCATGACAAGCGGGAAGGCCAAGGGCGGCGCCGCCGACATGGCTCCAAGTCTTGCACACAAGCACAGCTTTCAGTATTCGCCCTCGTCTGGCCATCAGCCCACTGTTCGTTGGCTGACCGAAAGCGTATACAAGCATGCTGTTTCACCTGTCAGTGCTTACAGAAAGCGCAGCGGATCAACACAATCACGTCCCCTTGGTAAGGTCTTGTTAAAGACATCACGCCGAGCTTAAACCCTGCATTGGGATCAACCGATGTGGATCGAGATGTCCTTGCGTTGGATCTGGATCTTGCCACAACGCTCTCCCAACGCGCGCTCCTAATTTGAAGCTCAAGGAACTGTAACTTGAGCCCCAGGGCAAACACAAAACGCACCGCAAAGGACGCGACGATGGCCAGACTCATGCCCAGAGGCAACAGTACGTACTGTCTGCAGCTGGGCCGAGCTGTTTCACCAAGGGACACAAGATTTGATACAACACCAATGCTTATGACAGTATTACATCTTTTGACTCACGCGCTGTGAAGGTTTTGTTGGTGATTCCTACCCAACAGCAGATGTCAGACATGGAGCGTTGCCGACTTTCGGATGCTCGAGCCGCGGTCGTCCACGTCTCTAATCGCGGCTTCAAGGTTGGGTGACACGCAGAAACTGCTGTAAAATGAGTTGAGTGGAGACTTTCATTGTTCACGGCATATTCTTGGCTTGGTGTCGTATGCCATGTTTTACCCCGTGACAGCTCTGAAGATCCCGCCTATGACGATCACATTTTAGTAGCCGTCTCAGATGCACTTTCACAGCCACAAAGAGCGAGCAAACTTTCCTCACGACCAGGAGGCAACTGCAACTCCACACGTATAAGACCTCTTGGCATGCTCGCGAGCGGCACCTCCTCCCCATGCATCTGGCGGGGCAATGGCTGGGCGAAGCGCTCGCCAGGTTTCTTGTGGCCCCTTGTCCTTGAAGCAACATGTTCTTCGAACGTAAAGGGGAAAAGATACTTGTGCGACTTGATCACACTGAAGCAGACTGAGAGTGGGACCCCGAAAACATGGGTATCAGACTGTCCTAAGAATGTTTGCATCAACTGGGCAATCCATATGCTCACGCATATTCTGCCAGATGCTGCTGCATCCTTGCATGAACGAGGCCAAGGTGCGGGTTTTTGCCCAGGCCTCGGTCGACATGAACACGGCTTTGTTTGGGAGGTTGGACTCTGCAGAGGCTGAAACAGAGAAGAGTAGCGGAATGGGGACTTCAAGCTCAGAGCTTTCAGTTCTAGGCTTCAGATCTCAGAAGCGGTGGCCCTGACTCATGACGCTTGGCCCCAAGTGGAGTGACTCGCTATCTATCTGGGGTCCCAGCACGCGAACTTCAGAACTTTCCTGAGAACGGCGGGATCATGGAGGGCAACGGGTTCTGCCTTCTGAGACTTCTGAAACAATACTGGCCAGTTCCAACAGATCGCCAACTCTCCTCACGAAACGTTGAGAAACTGCAGCCCCTCAACTGTAGGGCCAGGCACCTGCGCTCTCCGGATCAGGAGCTCCATGCACATCAGGAACCGTTGAGAAGCTGCCTTATGTGACTTTGATGACAGGTTGTCGATCCTCTACGAGTAACACCGTTTCTACTGCAAGGGCCTCGCATGTTGCCAAGGAGGCTTCGGATCAAAGACTCATACCGTACTCGATTGTGCGAGCTTAGTGCTTTCCAGAACGTATGGTGATGCAAGATGTTTTGAGATCCAGTCTGAGTGGTTGGGCATTTCCACCAAAGGGTTGAGTGCTCTTCCTAAGCTATTGCATTTTTCCAAGGCTCCCGGTCTAGGCTGGCCCAACAAGTTTAAAAAAACATGGAGAGATTATGCAGCATCAGGCTCTCCCCTGATGGGGAAACTTCGGGGATATGCTTTGTCTACTGCGCCGGTCCGAAAGTTCGTCGCACTCTATGCTGTTCACGTACAACAAACCTGTCCAAGACCCCTTTCCCCCTTAGACTCCTCCAGAAGTCCTCCGCCCGGAACAAATATAGTATTATAATGTCATTCGGGTGTGATAATTCCTCCGCTAGCCAGGCTAGGGTATTCCTCGCCTCCTGTACTCCGCGTACTTCATTTAGTGTCTCTAGCGGATGCGACGAAACTTTATTACCGGGCATGTAATGGTGTCTCTTCATCGCAAGTGACCGCAAGAGTATGTCTTAACTGCTACGCGTCAGCGAAAATGAGACAACGGGGGAGCTCGACTGAGGCTGCAGCCATATCGCCGAAGACAAACGCAAGCTTGCGCTTCATGAATTCAACAACCACGATATGCTCCTGCAACGCCCCATGCATCTGCATGCGAGCCTGCGAATTTTGGGCTTCACCCCCTGTTCCTGCTAGAAGAAAGACTGCCCATGCTTCTCAAGAAAACATCAACTGCGTCAACCCTCAGATCTTGGTCTCCGCGTTCGAAAGAGGTAGAGGAGGCATCGGCGTGGGCCCCGTAAGCGACCCTGCAGAGAACCATCGGTCGTCATTTTTGACGATTCGGTACCTCCAATGTAAGATCTTGCAGTCCGTGGCTTTGCAGTGGCTTTCGTCAAGACATGCGACGACAGCCAGCAGTGTTGCAGGTCTGAATGTGTGATTGACGAACCATCATACTCTGGCGGTCAAGCGACACTTTCGACACAGCGCTGAGGGGAAACTCGATGATGCAGCCACTACCCTGGTCAATCCTCGAGAGCATTCGCCCGTCCGAAGAACCCATACATGCAGTCCGTGCTTGCCGCAATGACGACCAAGAGTCTTTAGAGTTTCCAAATTCTCCAGAATCTGACAGTGGATATCTGAGTACTCCTCAGCAGAAGGCATGAAAAAAAGATCTGGGAGCACAGAAGCTTCGAGAATCTACTGGTGCAAACACTGGTAGACAAGTAAAGCCTTGATGAGTCCTAGGACACTCATCTGCGCATAAGGTGAGGGCACCTCTTGCCTGAGAAAAAAGTCGTCTCTTGCTGACAAGAGTCCTGGCTCGAGCCTGACGCAGGGATTTTGAGGAAAGCAAGCGCTTCAGCCCTGGCAGAAGAACGGTGCCATGCGTTCTTTGCTACAGGCCGAGATGCTTATCTGCGTCATGTGCATGCCTCTGTGCAGGTCCAGAACGAAATCCTGTGGGCAAGGGCGAGAGAGCGAGAGAGAGAGAGAGAGACAGAGAGCAAAAAAGCGAAAGAAAGAGATGAAGAGCTGCACGCTTACCTGCCGAACAGCACCAGCGCATGACTTCGTTCAGACTCACCAGCCGATTAACACGTCATCATAATTTCAAAAATGGGTGGGTTCACGTGCGTCGCAACCTTGATTGGCTGGCGCCCTATTCTGCGCAGCCATCCTCGAAACCAGGTCGTATTCAACTGCATCACGCCTGGAACACCCGGAGTAGAGTCGCCCGGCGCCTTACAACGGACGACCGAAGTCCCATGTCCGTGACACTGACAATTCCACTTTGTCCTTCTGACCCTCAGCTGGCCTGCATAGAGACAGACACACACTGAAGGTCTTGGTCTTCCACCTGCAACTGAGACACTTGTCCTCGGGTTCGTCTGGGAGTTCATCTGGTGGCAAAGGATAGCGTAGCAGCCGTGGCAACTGAATTCGATCCCTGCAGACACACAGGTAAGTCACCACACAAGGAACCCTTCTCAGCGTAAGCAGCATCGCTTGATAGTGATAGTGTTACTCTGAACATTGCATGTACAAAGAAAACGACTCAGTCCTTCCACGGTGACAAGAGACAAGCTCCTCAAGCTCCACAGCCGGCAAACGGAGCCCTGCCTGAAATCATGCTGACGAGGAGTCATTTGCAGCTGCCTTGTCCATTCACCCATGGCCCCGGCACGTGGGGACACCTTGAATACAACCCGGTTGATCCATTGGCTTTGATGGTGTGAAACACGCTCTGCATCCACCCAGTTAGAGCCTCCCAAGCCAAGCAATCCTTAACAACCTGAGGCTTCAAATCAGAGCCACGCGACCGTGACGTCGAAGGAATCCTGCTCTGTTAAGAGATGGACCGGGTGTGCCAGCCGCGTTTCCAGGACATCGCTCGTGAGCTGCACCTCATAAAGCATCAAATCAATGGATGACGGCCAACAAAACCGCTGAGAATTGACCTGAAACACTCGGCGGTCTGCGGACCTGTCTTCCTCTGTTTACTGCTGAATGCTACATCCAGCCATGGGCACAACCTTCATTTCGCCGTTGACAGAAGTCTGCTCGTGCCTTAGCTTCATCATGATAGGTTTTCCTGGCATGATGGAATGTACAGTCTGGCTCTGCCTCTTCACTGCACTCACTCCGCATCCTGCCTCGAACCCTTTAAGTTGTCCTGCTGAGAGTTCGGAACCTTCACGGGCCTTGCGAGTCTGTGCCACCCAAGGAACTGGACGTTGCAACACAGGAGGTACCTGCAACGGAGTTTACAGCTACAGTTTCGGTGCGGCATCGAGAATCAGACCTCGGCTGATGCGGAGCTTTACCTGCAGCCCTCCCCCATTCATGAGCTGCAAAACAGTGCTACACGCCTGCCTGTCAAGGCCGAGGGTTGTAATCCAGTCGCTCATCATGCGTATCCTGCCGGTCATCTTCGATATTGTGGAGAAACCCCGGCACAAGGAGATGCTGCCATTGCAGGAACGTCACTGTGTCTTCAACTTCGCCTGATGCAACAGACCATGCATCTAACATCCAACCAAAGAAGTCCGTCAAGTCATGGGGCAACCATTGGATGCGGTCTCGGCGCCATCAGGGAGCGAGAGGTGATGCTGCAAAGACCAGCAGATTTGGTCGCACTGGGTTGGGCTTCGGGCACACCACGGCGGCCGCCGCTCTAGCTTCTGTTTCTCGCTGATGCATGCATCTTAGCTAGTGGCTTTGCTCTTCATCTGATCGCATGTCTTGGCTTCAACTGGGTTTTTGGTGCCCCTACCTTTCATGGCCTCGAACCAAACCCAGCAGGTCCGCATGTATATACTCTCGGCCAGCGTGCCACGGA